TGCTTTACCCCAACCTGGGCTGCACTACCTGTGGGCCAAGCCAACCCATGGATGGTATGGGTAGAGCTTGAGGCTCCTTCGAGACCTGCTTTGCCAGAGTGCTGCCGTGTACACGGCTTGAGCTTGAGGCTGGTGGATCCTGTGACAGTATAGGGGCCTACTTCCCTAAGCTCCCGTGCTACTGAAAATTGCTGACAAAAGCTCCCTGCTGTCTGCTGCCTTCCGGCAGACTTGGCCTGTCTTGCCTGAGGGAAGATTCCAATGTCTGCTTCATTGACCTTGGACTGGCATCCCAAGTAAGTTGAAGGATTTCCTGTATGCTAATGGTTCCATGAAAGTGAGTTAAACTGAGCCTTCTACACTGTTCCGTTGACTAATTATCTGTTATATTCCTTCTCAATGTATAAACCTATCCTTTTATATATAATCATAAGTGTCGGCTCATTCCCTGCAAGACATCCCAGAGGAAAACCCAAATGGATTTACCCTGATGTAGCCAGAGCCCTGGCAGCTGGAGAAAACATGTGGAGACCCCTGTCAGTAGAGATGCTTACAGTGCCACCGGATCCACAAGACTGCCCGCCCACTGGCCTGTGATTTTTCCTGCATTCGGCATCATTGCATGTGTTTCGTGAGTCTGAAGAGGACTTTACAGATTGTTATTAGACATATGGGCTAATATCAGACTTATGGACTTGATCTGGACTGGGCTGGAATGTTTCCTCAATATTCATTCCCTTGTATATAAAGCTCTTTCCTATTGAAAAAAAAAAAGTAAGTGCCCTGGTTTTGTTTCTCTAGTGAACCCTGCCTAACACACTCTCCAATCTCTCATATGCCATCAATCAAATCTGGAGCAAAACAGGCAAGCAACTGAATGGTCAGCAAGAGTAAACTGCCCCTGGTCTAGGGCAGGAGATGTTGTCTACTAGGGTCTGTCTTCCAAGGAGATCAGATCACTCATTGGTTCTGGAGGGGTACTGGTAGCTTTCTTCAGGGAGGGAACCCTTCACAGCAGCGGACTCACATATCTACACATAGGGCAGTAAACTTGCTGGGAGGTTGGCATTGACCACTTGACTCAAGGAAAAACAACCACTTTATTCACTGAAGAATAATTATTTTTCCTGTGAACAACTGGCTGTATTGAGGCTGGGACCACACATGGGATATGGACTCATCCTTGGTCTCTCACTCCCTGGACCTTAAAGCAGGTGGAGAGTCTGCTTGCTCTGTGCCATCAGCAGGGGCTTGAAATTTTTCTGGAACCCAATCTGTGAGCACCTCAGAAGCATACAGGTACCCGACCCACCTACCGATGAGTGCACACCCAACTCATGAAGCGCTAGCCAAGGATGCACTGAGACTGCTCTGACAATGAACCCGGTGGTGCTGTGGGTTAGGCATCATGCTGCTGACGGGGAGGCTGGTGGTTCGAAGCCACCTGCTTCTCTGCAGGTAAAAGGTTCGGCTGCGTGCTTCTGTAAAGATCCGGTCTGTGAAACCCTACATGGGGACTCTGAGTCAGGCTGAAAGTACCACAGACCTGCCGAACAGCAAACCAGGCGCCTTGGTAGCAAGACTGCCAGAGTGCTCTCAGAACCAAGGATGGTGACTCTGTCTCGCAGTCGGACGTGACATCCCCAGAGACAGACGAGTGCTGGGAAAGACACCACGCTCGGGAAGGCTGAGGGCCAGCGACAAAGAGGAAGACCTCAAGGACACGGACGGACACACTGAAGACCACATCGGACTCAAACCCAGGAAGAGCGACGACAGTACGGCGCAGGCCGTGTTCCGCTCTGTCGAACATGAAGTCGATAGGGGTCAAAACCCACTCAGCAGCACCTGACGACTGGGACGGGGGACTGACGGCAGCGTGGCTGGCTGGACGGAAAGCTGTGCACGTACACAGCGGTGAGATGGAAAGGAAGAGGAGTGCAGATCACTAACGCTCTCATGAATTTTCATTTAATGCTAGTGAACATTTTTATCATAAACACAATGAACTACAACCGGAAGTGGAAACCCCTTCTCCTACTCTACCTGGGCCATCACCAAAGGGCTTGCCGCTAGGTTTCTCAGAGAAGCAATCAAAACAGACACATGTTGAGCGTTGACAACCACAAAGAGAACTGGGGGAGGTTTGGCCTTGCGCCACAGGGCAGGTGAGAAGGTGGCTGGCAGTGGCTCCCTAGAGAAAGGTGTGAACTGATCAGATCTTGTCCAGTGTGAACTCTGGTCTGTCCGTGCCTGAGTGAAACTGAACTGCCTTTACCGTGTGACCTCAGGAACAGTCTCAAATACCAAACTAGTCCAAGATCAAACTATGTAACACAGCCGTGTGCAGGTCACCGCTGTGTTTCTCAAGGAGCTCTGGAAGCTGCTTCTTCTGTGGATCAGAAGCTGCAGCTTGTCTTCAACATCCAGACGATTCACAGGTGCTCCCCCTGAAGTGCCAGCCACCGCCCCAAGAGAAGCTTGGTCCAGATTGCTGCCGGAGAAGTCACAGAGCATCGGCGCCCCCCCAGACGGCATCACTGGAGGCTTGGCCAGCAGACCGCTGCACCTGTAACCAAGCACGGCACTCTGCCCCAGGTGTCCTCAAGAGCCCTGACTTTCCAGAACGTCCTGGCCCGGTCAGACTCCACCAGCTTCCCGCCCAGTGGCTCCCACACAGTGCACTCCCTCCTCTCCTCAAAAACCCCTCCTCCACTTCCACCTGCAAGCCCTCCCCACCACCACCTACTACTGTCCCTTTGCCCCTCAGGGGCTCTATGCACAGGGAGGAGCAGAGTCTCTCCTCTGGGCCAGGCACTGGGACTGCAGGAGCGGCCATGCAGGGCCTGGCGGAGGCCTCACCTGGCTGGAAAGCAGGGGCGGGCTCAGCGCCACAGCAGACGTGACTCCGACTCCAGGGAAGGAGGACATGGCCGGGGCCGTCTCTGGTCTGAAAAGCAGGCAGGCAGGGTGTCAGGACAGGCTCTGTGTCAAGTGTCCGGGGAGGCTGGGGAGCAGCGTCCACTGACTCAGTGAGATGGCAAAGAGTGGGCTTGGAGAGTATTTAGTTTGATTATAAACTGAAACTTACATCATTTTATTATTCCCATATGCTTCGTCCAAGTTTTCTTTTAGCAAAGAAAATTTAAATAGTAGAGGGAAGGTAGGGTGTAAAGTGGGAACTGATTACAGGGATCTACATATAACCTCGTCCCTGGGAGAAGGACAACAGAAAAGTGGGTGAAGGGAGATGTTGGAAAGTGTAAGATATGACAAAATAGATGTTGGAAAGTGTAAGCTATGACAAAATAATAATTTATAAATTATTTATACTAATTTACAAATTTATAAATAATTTATAAATTCATGAGGGAGGGGGGAACGGGGAGGGCAGGGGGAAAATGAGGAGCTGATGCCAGGGGCTTAAGTGGAGAGCAAATGTTTAGAGAATGATGAAGGCAATGAATGCACAAATGTACAAATTCCTTTACACAACTGATGTATGTATGGATTGTGATAAGAGTTGTATGAGCCCCCAATGATTTAAACAATTTTAAATAGATCTTTAGTTTTTGATTTTCACACAAAAATAAGAATGTTTAAGAAAAACTAGACTAAAACTGATGATCTTGAGTCAGAGAGAACTGAGAAAAACCGCTATACTGTGCTGCTTGGTGGTCTCACGGCCTGGACACGAGGACCACTGCCCAGGGATGACCACCGGTGCAGAATGCATGACACTGACTGACCAATGCACAAACCCCGCTTCAACGTTCTCCAAGCTCCCTCCCCAGTGACATCAAAGCCCCTCCTGTCTGCAGTCAGGAAGGCAGTTAGAAGAATCCCTCTGTGTCCTGTGCTAGTCGCTCCCATAAACTCTCTCTTCTCACCGAAGCCTGCACTGGAGCAGACATTTCGGCCTGACTTCAGCAGCAGGCAGAGACCCGACTTCTGTGGCAACACATGTGGGGGTTCGTCCAAGCCCCCTTCCTACCTGTGATGCATGCACCCTGCAGCGAGAGTGGGGCCAAGGCCAGTCCCAGCCCCAGGCAGTTTGTTCCTGTTCTAAGACCTGGACAGGTACTTCCAAGGAAGAAAAGGGGCAAGAAAAGGCTGTCCCACACTGGGGGCTGGCACACACCACAAGAGGGGCTGTCTGCCACACACCATAGGCGGGACTGTTACACACCACCCAGCTGTCTGTCACACACCACACAAGGAGCTGTCACACATCACCCGAGCTCCAAAAAGCCAAGACACCTGAGGTCCTGGGCAACCCCTGGGCCGACGCGGTGGCTGCTGCCCGCCTCTGCCTGAAGCTCGTTGCTCAAGTAGCAGCAGAGACCCTCCAGCTCACAAGCCTCAACTCTGGACCCCAACTGGACATTAGACTTGTGTGAACTTGAATACCCATCTGAAGACCTAGAGAGCCGCCGAGCGGACACTCCACGTGGACCAGAACGACAAGGCACAGTCTGCGTGCCCCACAAGGCAGACCACCTGCAGTCTGCATGCAGGACTTGTGGTCTCCACACACCGAGGGCAAATCCCATCCGGCTCTCGGTCGCTGCACCCAGTATAGAAGGGATGCGCTGCCTCCCCTGGCTCAGGGCCAGGAACAACTGGGCGGTACCCTGCTGGATCTGCGGGTCAGCCTCCGTAGAACCAAAAAGGCCACTGAAGTGTTGAAGGCACCTCTGATGGAGCTCATCCCCCCTCTGAGCAGCGGAGCAGCAGGGTGAGCACATTCCTCACACGAGTGCCCTGGGGCATCGCCAAGCCTTGGGGGCTCAAGGAATGTCACTGCTGGAAGAAGAGCCACACTGAAAAAGCCTCTGGCAGAGCTGTGTCTACAAAGGGACGTAACCAGGGACCGAGAACTTCCCTCTCCTGTGCAGAACCCAGAGCCGCGTTAGGGAGTGATTTCACCAGGGACCGAGAACTTTCCCTCCCTTAGAGTGATTTCACCAGGGACTGAGTACTTCCCCCTCCTGTGCAGAAACCCAGAGCTGACAGAGAAGCTGGCTCAAGCCCTTATGAGACAGTATTTTTACAAATGTAGCCACTGGGTCAGTTTTGACCCACAATGGTGCTGTGTCAGACAGAGCAGAAGTGCCCCAATAGGGTTTCTAAGACTGAACATATCTATGGCAGCAGACTGCCCCATCTCTCTCCTGGGGAGCAGCTGGTGGCTTTGAACCTCTGGCCAGCAGAGAAGTGCATTGTGCAGCCAGGGCCCCTCAGGACATGCCATGCGGAAGATGCACTTCAAACCCACCCTCCATCAACAGAAAAACCTCTCCCGGGCTGCCTGCAGCCCCCTGAAGCCCTTTCAAAACCAGAGTCCGAAATGCAGAACAGGATGCTGCTGCTCAGAACCCCACAGCCGGTGTAGGAAAAGGAAAACACCAGGAAGAGGCTGCTGGGAACCTGGGCAGCCTCATGGGCAAGTGAGCCCAAGCTCTACCCAGACGCAGGCCAGGGATGGTGCCCACGTAATCCCGGGTGTTTGTGGGTGCCTTTCCTGTTTACCAGAAAGCCAAACTCTTTGTAGAAGCAACCTGGGATGATTGTTGTAACTTTCACCAATGTCTAATCTGTGTGCCCTGGGGGGTGAAGAGAAGGCTGGACCCCTCTTACTGGGCCTTTGTCCCCTTTACTTTCCAGGGTCCGTGGGGGAAAGGGTATCCCCGACTGGGGGGCTGTACGGGACCACCTTTGCCGAAGGATGAACTCAGCCGCGGGGTTCCACAGAATTAACTTTGGGGAAGGATGGCCTCCCACCGTGGGGTTCTACAGGACTGTCTTTGGGTTCCGTGGCACCAGCTTTGGGGAAGGACGGACTTTGGGGAAGAATAAACTCTGAGCATGGGGTTTTTCGGGACACTCTTTTGGGAAGAACGGACTCTGACCATGGGGTTCCGTGAGACTACCTTTGGGGAAGGATGAACTCCAGAGGTGGCAATGCAGGCTGTGTCCCCAGGAAGCTCCCGGCCTGTAGCCCCACGTGTCCACCACTGGTACCTGGGCCTTCCTCCAGACACATGGTCTGGGGGTTCCCGCCGGGCGTGTCAGTGAATCCTGGGGAAAAAGGGTTCACAGATCATACAGGGAAGGAGCAGGGAACGTGAGGCAGCGGCTCCACATTGAGGCTGGCCACGCCGAGCCAGGCTCACTGCCTGCAGAAGCCTCTGAGTCGACACAGTGGTAACACCTATGTTCGAGCAACCAAACAACAGGCTAACTGTCCTCCGTGAACCTCCTGACCCAGGCCACCTGCTCAGGCTGGCTTATGAGGGCACATCTGCTTTCTCCCATTCTCTCTTCCCTGGGGACCTCTCCGGTGCAGGAAATAAGGCTTACGTGCCCATCGGACCACCTCGGTCTCAGCAACGGTAGCACAGTGTTATACTTCTCCCTCTGAGATGGAGAAGAACAAAAGGCCGTGAACCAAACCAGCAAAGGGGTGCAACAGGGGCAGGGCAAAGAGGGACGAGGTGAACCCAGGCCTGCAGCATTGGGAAGCTAACAGAGTCCACTGGATGATGTGTGGGGCACAAGGCAAGGGCAGGGTGTCAGGCACCAGGAGCCCTGAGAGAGGGGAGCATGAAGGAAATGCAGGGGGTACTGGTCAAATCACTGCCAAACAGCGGACAGAAACCCTGCCCAGTCCTGTGCCTCCCTCACAACTGGGGCTGTGTCTCAGCCCACTGCAGCGGCCAATAGGTCACTCAGTCCGTCTTGTTGATGGACTCTTCTTTTTGGATGACCCTCTTCTTTACCTTCAGCAGAAACTGGTCCTTTCTGATGTGACATTCAGAGTATATAGGCGGAATACCACCATTCCCTCTTCCAACAAGCTTCCTGGATATACTTTTTCCGCTTGTTCAAACTTCTGACAGTCCGTCCATGCAGTCGGTGTGACAAGCCAATACCACAACCCAAAGGCACCAATTCTTCTTTTTAACTCTGTCTTCACTGTCTAGCTTCATGTAAAGCAATCGAAAATACCATGAACTGGGTCAGGTGCACATCAGTCCTCAAAATAACATCTTTGTAAAGAAATTAACATCTTTGGTTGTGAAGAGGTATTTGGCAGCAGGTTTGCCCATGCAGTCCATCATCCGCTTTCTTGACTGTGGACCAGCAAACTGAAATCCTTCAGTTTCACGTTGTCTCTGTTAATCGCGTTGCTGCTGAAAGGTGTCCAGTTATGAAGAACTTTGAGATGCAGCCCATCCTGAGCAGAGGCTGCAGTCTTTACCCCCTTCAGTCAGCGCTCCATGTCCTTGTCACCTTCAACATGCAGCCGTGGCTGTGCCACCTGCACGCTGCAGGCTATCACTGAACCACCCTCTAATCCCGACGCTGCATTCTCCCTCACAGAGCCCCTCTTCTCCGATGCTCTGTTCACACGCAGATTGAATATGTGCAGGGACACCACCTTAGCGAGCATCTCCCAACCGTAAACCATGTGACTGTAAACTGTGTGACTGACTGCCTCTTGGTCTAGGTACAGTTTCCAAATGAACACAACCCTATGTTCTGGAATTCCCATTCTTGGCCATGTTATCCATAATCTATTATAACCCACAAAGATAACTAACTTTGTATAGTCAATAAAAAGCAGGTAGACATCTTTCTGATAATCTTGCCTGCAGCCAAAATCCATCTGACATCATTAATGATATCCCTTGTTTTGTGCCCTTTTATAAATCCAATTGGAATGTCAGGCAGTTCCCTTTCAGTACCACTACAACTGTTTTCTGTATTACAGTCAGCATACTGTTATTTGCATGGGCTATTAATAATGTTCTTCCATGAAACCCAGGATTGATGACCCTATAGAGACAGCAAGTAGAATTAGGGGTCCGTGGGGATGGGGATACAGTGGTGGTCATGGGTAAAAAAGATGATGTCAAGGAGTTAGTGTAGAAAGATTGTTTGGGAACTGTCTGTGGTAGCAATTCTACAATTCTACTCTCCATGATTGAAATATGGAATGATATGAAATACACATCTGTACTAAATCCCAACTAATAAAAAATAAATAAAATAGAGTAATGTTCTTCAGTAATTTGAACAGTCCACTAGAATACCCTTCTTGGAGTGGACATTTGTACAGCTCTCTTCCAGTGGTTGGCCAAATGGGTAGGTAGCTGTTTTCCAAATTTCTTGGCACAGACCAGTCAATCCTTCCAGGGTTCCATCCGCTTGTGGAAGCATCTCTGCTGGCGCTCCAACCCCCCCCCTGGAGCCTGGTTTATGCCAACACCTTCAGAGCTGCTCGGACTCCTTCCCCCAGCAATGCCCATTCTTGATCCGAGGGTTAAACATCAGCCAGTTCTTTTTGGCACAGTGACTCTGTGCTGTCCTATTGAAAGACATGATGTAGAAGAAGGAAAATCCACCAACTGAAAAAGAACTCTTGAAACTTAAAATAGAACTGTCGAGATAAAAACCTTCAATAGGACTGTTGAGCGAAAGAATTTAAGCGATATCCCCAAAGTGCACACACTATAAAAAGACCAAAAAAATCAGGAAAAAGATAGGCTACTTGGGAGCTTGTTCATAGAGTTCTGACACCCAAATAGCACGTGCTATGAAGAGAAGACAGAGAACCAGGATGGAAGAAACTGTCAAAGACGTTCATCAAAAGAATGCAACCCCCACATGCCCAGAGTTTAAAGGAGACCAAGGTACTTGACACTGAAAACCTAAAGGGTAAGATGAATTCGTAAGATCTAGGGCCACGGCCATCACTACGGAATTTCTCAATTCCAAAATAAACCCCCAAATATCAAAACCATAAAAGCTCCCAGCGAGAAAACAGGCTACACACAGAAACGTGAGCATCAGAATGAGGTCCCACTTCTCGAAAGTGACAAATGCTACACAACCACAGGGAAGCATCGGATTTCCGAGGGAAAACGGTTTCCAACTGCAGTTTCCCCCGACACACTGCCCCTCAGCACGGGGGCAGAGTGGGACACCCACCGAACACCCAAGAACTCGGAAACCTACCCTCCCAGCCCCTCTCACAACACTGATGAAAGACAGTCGCTACCTGAGGGCCTCAGGAAGGGAATGGCCAGGTGTGAAGCCCAGGGCACAGAGGCCCAAATCCCAGGGCAATGCCCCAGCTCAGTGCACGGCTCCAGCCTGGCCTCGAGAGGGCGTCTCGAAGCAGTAGTGACTGAACTGGGACGCCGCCCAAGTTGACCGTCCGAGTCAAGTGTGACAGACACAGGCAGGGTCGGGAACGAGCAAGGGCATCGAGAAAGCCGACAACAGGACGCTGGGGACAAAGATCTAAGCACGCACGGAAAGGTGGAGATCTCGATGACTGGCGACTACACGGTG